CAAGCTCCAGACAGCAGATCAGTGGAGCTGCAGGGACTGCTGAGAAACTAAAATGTTCCACCCTCCAGAAGTCACCAGAGCCAGAAGAAAAAGAGAAAGAAGCTTTTACAAAGCACTTTGCAGAGGAGGTGAGTCCATCACTGCTCTATTCTGCAAGTGGGGAAACTGAGGCAGGGGTTGGAGAAACCATTTGCCAGTGGTCACCCAGCAGAGAAAGGCATCTAGGTCTCAGGGTGCCTGGTCAGCACTGGGCCAAGTGCAGCGTTAGTACCAAGTTACTGCCTTTATCCCAGGTACTTTCAGCCTTGGGGCTGTGATGAATAAATGTTTATTGTGCTCGCTGTAGAAAACAAAAACAGAAGTGGCAAGGTAGGGTAGAGGAAAAGAAAAGGCACCATGGCATGGGTATCTGTGCATGGTTCTTCTACTGCTCACTAAAGGGTTGGCCAGAAGCCAGATTTTAATTTTTGAAAGTTTTCCTGGGGAGACAAAGACAAATAAAACACCAAACAAGGCCAAACCAAAGCCATTGGCTGTTGAAATCCAAATGTTTTAAGTTTAGTCTCATTTAACCTCTATAAAAATATATGAAATGGAAAAAGAAATCTGCTTTCTTATGACCCAATAAGTCAAGAGTTAGTGTTTCATAAAATGGTCCGACAAGATCCAGCGTCTCGGAGATGGAGCTGGACAGTGGCATCTGGAGAGGAGAGGCCCATTTCCATAGTGAGGGCAGTTAACAACCACGTCCCCTTAGCAGGTCTGGGGTGGCTTCTCCACTGCCAAAGGCCAGTAAATGAGTGGATGTGTAGCTAAAAGAAAAGTTGCTCTGGTGATGGGTATGTAACAGCTGGTGCTTACAGAGGCTTTTTGGTCTGTGTTATGAGAAATGTCGAATTACACAATTAAATCAGTCCCTGTTGGTTTTAAGCCTTATTGATCTGTAATCCTAAGGGTGCACTGATGGATTTACTGCCATTTCACCGGTACTCGTTACAAGAGTATTTTGTTCCAAGACACTAACTAGAACAAAGGGGCTGTAAATTGCACCCATGCATCAGCCCCGGCAGAAGAGGATCTGATGCTGTAGACGGTCCAAAGGGGACAGTGTGGCTGAAGCAGAGGCTTCTCACTGGCTGTGTGGCCTCAGGGGGCTTTGAAATGAGGATATGAGAAGCTCTAGGGCTTCAGTGAGCCTCCAGCAATCCCAGGGATGGGGTAGAGCATTGCTTCTCCTCTCTTTGCAGGCTGAAGTTTCCTTTCTCCTGGTAGCATGCTGCACCGACACCTGGAATGTCCCTGGCTGTGTCCATGCCTGCACTTGTCCTGCCAGAACTAAGATTTTATGTAGGAGAGATGTGCTTCCAGTTCACCCTGCCATGGACAGAAAGGAGAAACAGCCACAGAACTTGCTCATCTTGAGCTGTTGCAGACGTGGGACCAGCCATGGACCCAACTCCCACATTCAGCTGCAAAAACAACTCCTGTATCCAGGCTCAGTCCTGCTCCCCCTTCACCCCCAGCATAGCCCCACCAAATTCTATTTCCCAGCACCCGTGTAGTGGGTGCTCCCAGCCGCAGGCAGGGATCACGGTGGTGGCACTGCCTATCCCCATGCCCCAGTGCCACAGCTAAGGACAGAGCTGGAGAAACCTCCACCCAAAGCTGGCTCTGCTGCTCTGCTCAGCTCTCATTTTAGCTTGGCAGCCCATGCCCGGGAGTCACATATTTTATCCCTGGAGTGCCAAGCTGCTCCATCCCCAAGCTGTGTTCAGGGATTGGCATGCAAATAAGCCCACTGCTGCCTCAGACTGTGATAATTAAAAGTGAAGTTGTAAAACAAGCAGCATCAATTTTTGGTGCACGTCCCCAGCAACACATGGTGATTGGACTGAGCTAGGAGATATTTCCAGCTACGCAGCAAGCTCTAAATAGCCTGGAGAGAATACATGGGAATTTAGCTTATGCAGCAATTTCAGACGTCAAAACAAGTCTTCTTGTTAATATGAAACTATTTGGACTTTGCATTTTTAATTAAAGCTTTTAATTATCCAACTGTATTTTATTAGCTTTTATAAAGACAGCTGCTTTAAACGCTATAAGCCAAATCTGTGCTCTGAAGCACTGCTTGTCCGAGACAGGGTTTCGGTAGTGAACAGCCTTCATTGTGAGTAAATGGGGTTGTTTATTTTAAACTACAGTTTACTGTCCCAGCCTGATTGAAACTCTTTTATGACAGAGACAATAAATAGCCTCGGTGGGAGCGTTTGTGCGCCCACAGCTGGGAGGGGATGCTGTCCTGGCAGCCTGGGGACTCGCCCATCAGCCCTTTCCAGGGTGAGCATCAACTGCTTCTGGAAAGGGTTCCTCTGCCCACCTCACCTCCCTTCTCACGTTGTTTTGTCTTTGAGCACTAGACCGAGACTGAAAGGTGCTGGGTGGAAGCCTCTTGCACCCTTGTGATGGGTTTTGAGGTGCCGAGGCCCCAGAGCTGGTGCTGCTTGGTGGGTCCCTGCAGAGCAGCGGAGTCGCCCTCTCCAGTGCGGGGGCTCAGGGGAACTCACTGGGCTCTGGTTTGCGGGAGGTCAGGCTTCATAGCTGGTCTTCTGCCGTGCCTGCTCTTCAGTACTGTGATCATAGGCTATCTTTATCAAGCAATAGCTAACGCTTGTGGTCCTGTTCGTAACATGGATTACTTATTCATTGGGTCATGTTATTTACAACCTCAGTGTGGCCTCTCTTGGTTTACAGCATGCCAATAGTTTAACAGCTTGTAGAAGCCTTTACGTCCTGCCTGTGCAGGAGAAGAGGCAAAGAACAACAGAATATCTGAATACAATTGCAAGAGAAGCGCTGACAATCAGGACGGGGTTTCTGGCTGGAGCGCAGCCCTGTGCTGACCTCTGTGCCATGTTCATGCTCTAGTTCGAGACCTTACTCTTCATCACTGTCAAAAATCAACAAAACGTACTAAATCATCTGTGATTTGGTGAGAAGAAAGACAAAGCGGGCAGCTTTTAAGCACTGATGCAGGTCAATCCGTAGCTAGTGAGACCTAGCAGGATCACAGGCTGAAGTGATGATAGCTGTGCACGAAGCTGAAAGGGCAGCTCAAGAGCCTGTGTGTGTGTTCCTGCGTTGCAGGACAGATCAAAAGCCTTGGTGCTGGGCAAGACTGTTCTCTCCAGACCTGCCTGTAGCTGCTGGTGATGAACTGTCTTCTGTCCTCTTTTGTGTTTCAGGGGACCTTAAGCTGGGACTGATACAGGTGGAATATTGTTCAAAGGAGATGTCACTACCTAGCATGGAGTGTAGGGGCCAAAAGCACAGCAATACAGACACTGTTAATGAACACGTCTATATGCTTGTGCATGGGCTGGAAGATCAATGAATTGAATGTCTTCTGGCTTACCTTGGACCAATGCCTGTGCTGACAATTTGTACCTGTGGAGCATTGCACTGCAGATGACAGACGGATTCCTCCAATGGATAGATTCAGAAGTATCTCCCATTTATCCCATCCCCAGTGAAACCCGCTGTCTGTACTGAGGGCTGCCCTGTGCTTCAGGTATTTTTTCTCTGATGATAGCATCTGTGTCCAGCAGTACACTGGGAAGGGCACTGACACCCAGGCAGGGGCATGTGCCAGGAGACCT